AATGAAGATATTCGCAGAGAACATCCATACGTCATGTTTCCCCTTGCGGGTGGAAGTGCTGCTATGATCGCGAGTGTAAGATTCCAGAGTATCTCTACCTTACCAATCAAGAAGTTTTTAATAACAATGATTGAAGTTTGCACCGAATCCTGATGGAAAGGAAGGATTTATGCATCGGTCGCAGACCCTTGATTACGTGTTCATTATAGATGGGGAGCTGGAGTTGACTTTGGACAGTGGGGAAAAAAGGATTATGAAGCCGGGTGATGTGTGTGTGCAGCGCGCATCTCAGCACTCTTGGAAAAATTTGAGCAAGACGGAATTCGCGAGGTTTGGGGCAGTTACTTTAGGGCTTGAAGGTGCGAAATTGAATGAGATGATCTTTCCCGAAGCGGTATAAGCTTCTAGTAGGACATCGGTCTACAGCCCCACAGATGGATGCTAAATAGTTCAAAGTCGTGCTAGTTGGGAAATACAAACAATCTTCATCATTTCGATTAACTTTGTAGAGTTTTTGGAAGAATACTACATAGCATAGGTATCCTAGTTCTTGAGTGATGTCGACGGTGCTTGCCTCCATGCTTGCACCAAATAGCAGTTCGACTTGTATTATTAATCCGTGTGTTTGCCAGTTTTGCACCGCTTGCTTGAGCTTTATCATAACCACCCCCACCTGCAGAGCGGGTGGGTCACCGAGCAAGCTTATTTTGTTTGCATCCTAGTTTGTGCTGTTTGTGTTGATCACTAAGGGCCAATCAACGTCGATCTGGGTGGGTCAGGTTTTGTTTGCTTAATAGTTTGTTCTGTTTGTATCGACGAGTAAGGACCAATCGTCGAAACAAAAGAAGAAGTAGATATATCCCACAACCAATGGGGTGGTACTGGAAGTCTGAAATTGCTAGGAAGCCTCTGGAACTGGCAATTTATGGGTAAATTGGATTTCCACTAGGACTGCAAAGTCAAGACCAATGCGAAATGATTAGAAATCAATGCGGAAATGGGAATACTGTACATATTGCCCTTTTTAAACTAAATGCTGCTTCCGTAGTTTGCCTGCACACCAGTTTTGCCTACTTTCTCATTCTTAATTCTAGCAGTGTTGTCCTATCCATTTAACCTGCCTCTCGCTTTTGGAACGATGTCTTTCAAAGGAGTAGTACTTATCCTTGGAGCCGGGCCTCGCGTTGGAGGGTCCGTCGCATCCAAGTTCGCAAGTAGTGGCTACAAGGTCGCCCTAGTTGCTCGCAATTTGTCAGAAGGGTTTTCAGCAGAAGGTTATCTCAATATCCAAGCCGACCTGTCTGATCCCAAAATTGTTCCATCAATATTCCAAACCGTGAAGGAGGCGTTTAGCGTTCCCAATATCGTCGTTTTCAACGGTTCGTGCATCTTTATACCTTTCCTGGTTATGTGAATAGCTGACGTGCGAAGGGGCTAACCGTCTCACAACTCCTCACGATGACCCTCTCTCCGCACCCTTGGGAACGATCAATGCTGCTCGCACAGTGGGTTTTGATAGTGCCTATATCGCCGCTCAGCAAGCTTTACAAGGGTTCAGAATGCTTCCCACCTCAACACCTACAGCGTTCATATATACTGGTAACACATTGAACCAGATCGCCATCCCAGGCGTGATGCCCTTTGCACTTGGGAAAGTGGCTGCGGCGATGCTTGTAGAATATGCCGCCAACGCATATGGTAAAGATGGCTACAGGTTCGATCTCTTTTTTTGCACTTCCCAGTTAGTAGATGTATGTATTGTATGTGACTCGTGTGTCTAGGTTTTACTTCGTCGACGAGCGCAAACCTGACGGACGACCAGCTGGTTTGCAGATCGATGGTGATGCACATGCAGACATGTTTTGGACGTTAGCTCATGAGCCCAAACAGTCCAAGTGGTTAGTTACTTTTACAAAGGATGGCGGGCGCCAGGCATTCGTTGGAGTCGACTTCGACGGCAATGATAGGCACTCGTATGATGATCAATTTGGTAGATGATCTTAATTCAGAGGATCTGTTACTCTTGGCGTCTTTGGGCATTTCAGGTTGTCAAAATCTGCCAACTGCAATATGCCGATTACTTTCGATTCTCGGCAATCCTCCATATGAGATTATTGGTCGCACGTTTCCAAGTGACGTACTCACCTGGCTTCGTCTTACAATAGATATCCTGTCATTGGTTTTCTGCCAACCTCTTTTCAAGGTTTGCGATGGTTTTGGATCGAAGTTGATTCCATCGAATGGTGTAAGGATGACATGACAAAGATCGACGAACTTCACCAAGAGAGAGAAGGGAATTCCTTATTGTTGTTGACGTGGGAAATATTGTAAGGGAAGAAATATTGCTTGATTGTGTTATCTAACTAATTTCAATACTAGCTATGGGTAATGCTAATTATCTGTGCTTATAACCATATATCAATATTTCTAATTTAATAACATTCATTTCTTATAACTCTAGCAGTAGAATATTCTCAACAACAGTGAACTTGAGCATTTTTCTCATAGTGATTAAGTTGGCGCGAGTCCCAATAACTTGGCACTAAACAAGTATTTCTAGTCAAATGTTACATAGTTAAGTTAATAAGCAATGAAATAGTAATTTAATAATATATTTAATACAATCTTAGCTTCAAGTGAGTTATACTTATTTAAACCCTACTATAACTAAGTAATTAACCTTCTATTAAATTTATATCTTCAATCGCTCTGATTAAGATAGTGTTTCTAGGTCATATAATTCTAGTCAAGTGATTTAAATCAGAATCCTTTACATATCATACAAAGTTTGTGGTGAATGTCTTCAGTAGAGGAATACGTATACTCACATTTAGCTTATCTTCATGTCTTCTCAATGCATCGATCTGACAATTCTCAAAGACACTGGCGAGCCGCTCACGATTACCGAGAAAAGTGTCTGGTACGCGAGCAAATGCGGCAAAAAGAATGCAAAAAAAAAAAATGACGGAAATGACCCACCCGCACTTGCGATGAATGGGGATCGTGGTTCTAATCTTATCTGATTCAAGGAGAGAAATGGGCAAATATTTAGTGTTGTGATTGGAAAAGGGTATCGGGGTTGGTGGTGTGATGTCCAGACCAAGCTCGACGTTATGGATACAGGAGTAAAGCTTGTAGCAACATCGCTCATGACGATGTTGCTATATTATCCGTTTTGTTTGAACGTCTAGAAAAGCCACTCAATGGATAAGTAAAGAAATTAGTCCTTCATTTCCTTAAATCAATGCTCAAGTGGCCACTAGAGAAACACAAGACAATTTCTTGAGGATCCTTGGCTACATAATTAATGCGACCACATGTCACTCTTAATAATGCTTTGATATGGTTCGCCGATTTGGCGCCTTCCCTGGGTCATTTCTCCCTAGCGCCGAGGTTTTGACTTGCGTGGCAGTGCTCATCTGCGCCGCATATGAATAATCGATTGAGATTGAGGTGATTATGTCCGAAGTTTTTGAAAACAGGCCTGATTATCTCATGATTATACAAAGTCCATCATCATTACCCATTTCCCACACACGTTGGTCTGGATCATACACGAAGGACTATCGTCGATTCGGCCTATCACGATTAGTGCCATCCGCTGCTACGTATATCGGGTAAGTGAAGCTGGGCGATCTCAAGGATCTTAAACCTGTGACCCTCGTGGACACTTACTATAAGGGACAGGAGTCTTGGATACTTAGTAGCACGTTATTCTTCCTTGATAGAATGACTTCGCTTATTTTATAACAGGATCTTCGCTTCAAGCAAGCCTCAAATCAAGGTACTGAACTTCTCAAGTCGTATGAGAATCCAATCAATCCTTAAGACGTTATTTCTATTAAGTTCTTCGACGAAGATGGTTAAAGGGCAGGGATGGGCCATGTCCATGAGGATGGAACTTCCAAGTTCCAATATAAGCAGAGACCACTTGCGGAGTCTGCCTCGTCTGGCTTTAAGCAGGTTTAGCGTGGCCTTAATGAAGGGTTTTCAAACCGTTTCAATATTTCCGTGCCCCTTCATAATGCAAACGAGATGTGGAAGTCAGGTATGTCTTTTCGGAGGCGATGGCAAGCCAGACGCAGGCAATGCCCATGACTAGATTGCTTGTTAGGTATACTGTGCATTGTCAGAAGTATACTGTAAGAGGCCTAAATAATATATTTTAGTATTGCTAGTAATTATTATTTTGAATGAAGAATACAGACATCCCCAATTCTAAGAACTTGAGGTAGATGCTAATAGAATCAAATTAGGGGAGAACGAGTCAACTTTGTTAATCTTTTTCAACTGACTGAATTTCTATCATCCAATCAAGAAGCAGGATGAAAGCCACTCCCATTCTCATTCATTTTAAGCCCAACACGACAGTAACCGACCATGGTACGCGATGGTAATCCCGAAAATTGCAACCCGAAAAAAGCTGACTCAGAAGCCGATCTGGGTTGTGAACCTTATGACGCTCCTTCTTCGGAGGTTGGGCGGGGTCCGGAACAAATGACTGATGTCTGATGCAGGCGTACTGTCACTGGAAAAGGCGCTAAAGACCTCAGCCCAGAAACTACCTTGGATTACGTAGCCGCCTACATAGTTAGGAAGGACGTATCTTTCGCGAGGATCAGCGGTACAAAAAGTGAGTATTATAATGACAGGTACCCTGGAGGTCGATTCACTTCATTTCCATTACTGATGGGCCGGACTGCTAACAAAGTATTCGGGCATATGCATCTTAGAGTTTGATTACTCCCGAGTAACTTGGGGTATTAGGTGCGCAGATGGGACGTATCGATATTCAGATTGGAAATTTGAGGAACAGTGTAGTCTTTAATTAAAGTTGAAGTGTGAGAAACTAGACCTCTTTTCAAGATATTCTATACTAAGCCCAGCTCTAAAGCTTCACAAGGTAATGCAACGTAACTCAGTACTCCTACCATCTTATTTCAGCAGTGTAACAGTCTAATTGATCATTCATATAAATCATCCTCGATAAGCTGACTATGCTATGCACCATCCTCTGTGAACCAACGAGCAGAAAGTTTCTTTAAGGAGTCGCTGAAAAAATAGAGGGGAATAACAAGGAAATAAGCCGCCCACAAGATTCCAGCCATTGACCCATACTGTACCTCTCCACCAGACTTATCGTACCAAGTGATGGCAGCATATGAAACCCCAAATCCTATGCTATTCTTGATGACATTGACAAGGACACCAATTTCCATAGCTCGAGATAGGTGGCAATCAACGGCGTACGTCAAAAGTATGTTGGCTGAAGCAGTGAGCCCAAAGGACAGTAAACCCCAACCCACACTCGTACCGGCCCAGTTTAGATCGTGTTGAAGAGATACTCCGATGACTACGCATCCAGTAGGACTTATTAGAGCCCCAAGCAAGACAAGCGGTATCCTGCTTTTAGGGTCATGTTGCCCGTTGGCCTTCTTCAATGCTCTCATTGACAACAAGTCGGCGACTACACCGCCTATCGGAAGCCCGATCATCAGCCCTATAAGGGCTCCAAAGTTGATAAAGCCAATCTGCCACGGAGCAAATAGCCTCGGAGGCATTGCATAGAGATTGCCGACTAGGACAGACGTCAGAACTGTCCAGCCGATGGTTAGACCGAAAGTAAGGGTTGTAACTAGCACTTCAGGCAAGAGTAACAGTGGAAATGGGCGAACGAGTAGTTTCAGCAGGCTCTCTCGATGTCGCCCACTCTCGACCCGAAAATAGAATGACCTTTCCACCCAAATTTTATAGTGACTCTTCGGTGTCTCGATTTCATTCTCGGTAGACTCAATTTCACATTGCGTATCGCATGGCGTGCCCATAATTTTGGTTTCTTGGGTTTCGTCGTTGGCACCATAGCTGTTGTCAACGGCATATTCACTGCTTGGAAGCATCAAAATGGAGGCCACAAGATTGACACCAATTACGATAGACGAGACTACGAAAAACCAGCGCCAGCTATTCAGGCCAGACGCAATTCCGCCGGCTACAATTGGACCGATAGCTGACCCAGCTGCCAAAAATCCGACGTAAACAACCATAGCAGTAGCAAGTTGCTTCTCACGAAAACATTCTGAGACAATAATTGGTCCTAATGCTTCGATAACTCCCGCAGATAAGCCGCCGAGAAATCTCGTTCCTAGTAGCGAATCGTACGTCTGCGCCGTCGCCGCCCATATATTCGCTGCGAGAAAGACCGTCATTGATATGAGAATCGTGTATCGTTTGCCCAAGTATTCCACAATTGGCACAGCCCAAAGATTCTGTAAACACACGGATGTTATTACCATACATTTCTACGCGAGAAGTGATTTTTTTCCACATACCGAAAGTCCTAGCATGAGCAGTGCATATGTCGTCAGGTGTGCTGCTTGATTGGTCGAACAATGCAAATCTTCAATAAGAAGAGTGAACATAGGAGAAACGCCAGCAGCAAACACGTTTCCCATCATGTTATAGAAGCTCACGTTGAGGAGAATCATTATACGCCATGGCAATGGCCAGTTCTGTTGCACTTTATCAGGAGGGACAAGGCGACTACATGGGGAAGAGTAGACTTACGCTAGGTTCGGTTGCCATCTTCGATAATTTGTATGCGATATAGAAACCGCACGTACCTAAGCAATGCTGAAGATAATGGTGAAGATGAGGCGAAGGATGATGCTGAGGATGACAGCTGGATTAATGTATATAGGATAGCAGGTCATCAGCTGAAGAAAGATTGCTCGTGTAAAATCAGGGGAATATCGATCCGGGGAGCGTCGGATAAGAGTGAAATCACGATCCGTACCAGCCTCAGGCACTTCCGATATACCCGCGGACTTTGAGTCAATGCATTATTATTTGGTCAGATAAAAACGCATCAAATAGCCGACCTAAGTTGAGACTAATTTAATCTTTGATGCTGTCTGAGCAGTTCCAGGAATACGCACAGCAACTTCTTGGCAGCATGCAGGACAATATTACCATCTCGCCTCTTTATTGATGGCGTGGACATTATAGCCTAGCCTAGTGGCTCTGCATTGGAGTCAAGTTGTCGGGTAGCTCCCTACGATGATACGATTCTCATCCAAGCATTTGATTCGAAGCGAGTTCTTAGGGCTGCTGAGTCTTACTTCGCAGTATTCGAGATATGGCGAAAGACGTCCGCGGGGTATCAAAGAAAGTTGCTTTAGCATCTGCCATAGGTAGACCTTGATCATACTGAATGATATTTATGAATACTCGAATGCTGGTTGGTCCGCAAGAGAACCGCTGAAAGCCGGTCTATCATAGAGAATGAGGTCTGCGCATCCAGGAAATTCTTGCCATTCCCACAGTGAGTCCCTCTAAAAAGTGGCATAAACTTTGTAAGCGGCCAGCAGCACGCGTTAATATGATTATCCAGTCCTGTGTTCGGATGAATTGTCTATAATAGCGTCTTAAGTTTAGATCGTCTACGCCACGCCACAAAAACTATGCCTAGTTTTCTGTTCATACCTTTAAGAAACTCAAAACTCAGAAAAAAAGGTTTCCCTTTTTCAAAAACAAATAAGTGCTACTTCTACATTGATCTCAGCTCAATACATTCCTGGGACTTCGATAAACGAACCATGAGGGCCAATACCATAAACCTGCGGCATGTCAGCTCTGGCGACCTCTTTCAGATCTGTACCTCTCAATGCAACAAGAATACTGTGTGTCCCTTTCTTGTTTATGACAATAGTCAGAACGATACCATCGTCTTCTTCAGTTGCGCCAGGACGCCCAATAAAAATGGGTTCACACGGACAACTTTCTCCATCTTCAGGCTGCCACTTGACCCAACCCCCTGTCTTCCAATCTGTCTTAACAATACATGAAAAGAAAGCGGCCTGCACGACTTTGAGACCATTGCCAAGTCGCCCAATCGGGACTTCTGTTCCAGGACTGGCACCTGCATTTCCGCCTGTGGCATAGACATATCTATAGCCCGGCACCATGGACGCGGATTTACTAATCCGGGGTAATTCTAATGCAACACCGGGAATGGCTTGCGCAACTGTCGCTCGTTCAGTCCTCTGAAGACCTGCTTTATTGACCGATGCCAGTTCGTAGCGGACCAGCGTTCCATCTTGATATGGCCTGGCCGGATCAACGACGTTGCTTAAGGTGTACTCGCGATATGGAATGTAGTCTTCTTGGTAACTACACAAATCCACATGGATGGATGTATCACCGGTGGCGTCATCAACAAAATCGTATGCGTTGACGGAGTGAAAGAACATGAAATTCGGCGAAGAATACGACGCAATTCTGGCAAAGTTAGCAGATCAATTCACATCACAATAACACGTTTGTAAAATGTACACTTCTCCGTCGGACTTTCGCAAAACGTAGAAGAAGGTCTTAGAGTCCGACTCAACCTCAAGCATATCCATGAACTGTTTTGTCACGTCGCTCACATCAAGATGAATAGGCTATCATATGTACTATTAGCCTATCCTCTCACTCCATCAGGGGAGGGACTTACATTGCGAATGAAAACCACGTATTCCTTCGTCATGGCCAACGAGTGGATATAGCACGGCGCGCATGGAAGAGCCGTTTTCCAAAGAAGCTTAGCAGGGTTAGAGACCACGTCCAACGCAAAACAAAACATGACACCTGTTTGCGAAATCAAATAGTTATACGTGGTCCCACGCTGTCTGTCTTTCGGTGGGTGGGCACAAATGCCAAAACCAGCGAGTTCGGGGTCGATTTCGGCGTATGTCAATAGCCTCTTTGGCTCGAGAGTCTTTGCATCGCACACTTGTAGCATGTTGAAATCCGTGTGGACTAAGATCTTGATTCATTCATTGTCAATAAGAGGTCTAGAGCACCATGTTCGACCAAATCTTACCTCCTCCTCCGCCGGATTTTCGGATGCCGCGCCACGCGACAGAGGATTATCGTCCTTGGGCAAATGCATGCCTCGACGAGGAACCACATTGATATTAGCCGCATCAGGTTCCAAATGGCCAGTTGGAACCCAGAGTGATTGCTACATTCAAGTCAGAGACTATGGTTTTCAAGGTATTCATATGGAGTAAGAAAGACCTGAGCTCCCAGCAGCGCCGAACATGGGTCCTGGGCCAATTTGAGAGGAGTATTGGCATTAATTCCACACATTGTAGTACTGACAAAGCCCTCTTTTTGAGCTCTACGCACTACGCCTTCCGCAGTATGTCGGCTACTGTAGCGGACCAGGCCATTGGACATGGTGAATTTGTGCAGAATGCCCAGGCCATCGAAGAAATGCTGAAGAACGGCATTTGGTTTAGAATTATCTTCAGAGAGGGGTATGATGAATCTGCCTGCGCCGATTCTATAGAAATTGTCAGATGACGGCCTACAAATTTGTGAAACGTTTTCGACAACAGCGTACCGGACGAAAGTTCCGTTTAGCCATTGTGGCCACACTCCTTTGGTGACGCAGTCCACTTCGCTTCTTGTTTCTGGGGTGTCCCTGAAATATGGAGGAACATATTTCAAGTCCTTTTCCTCGACAAAATAGTTATTGTACGGCTTCACTTCCGGCATGCTGGTGAGGTGGGCGGTTACTATTAATCACTGATGATAGCAAAACTCAGAGAGAATGCGAAGGGTGCAAAAATAGAGAACTTGATGAATCCTAGGCCGAAATAACACTAGATCAGAGTGCTTTTATTTCCCAACTTTACCAGTCAGGAATCGGCTTCTTATGCCTTGCGGGGGCAATGGTACCTTCCCGGCATTGCCCCCGGCAACACGTGATAGGGGCGGTAAGGAAAGCCCTGTCCAGTGAGGACGGGGACGGGGACGGGGAAGTATCGGAACTCAGGCTCCACCAAAAAGGATCCCCATGGGGGTTTTCGGACTCTCGATTTCAGCTTCGTTGAATTATGCACCCGAAACATACATATATTACTTAATTATGAACAGCGAACAGCGATACTACCCTGCCTCAATAATGCCAAGGACTCGCAGGCATCGCCACATTACTCATACACTTTATCCAATAGTGTCTAGCTATAGATAAGGGACTACATGTTACAAAACCAACCTCCCAAACGACGGGCAGGCACCTCTATGTGGTGTTAGGAACTAGTGTTTGCAGTTATGACTGTTTAAGGAAGCTAAGACCTGCTAAAAATCGAGCATACATCTATTTTCGCGAAATATATAGGAATCTGTAGGAGAAGGAGAAGATTAGAATAGTTTACTATTTTGTGTCACGGACCTGGATCCACCATAGTTAAACAGCATTGTGTCGAGGTACGCTGTGCTTTGTTGAACCACACAAAATTTCAAAGATTGTTGTCAATAGAGTAGGCTAAGTAAATACAATAATAATAGTTAATCAAATACTAGAAGTTTTAACATAACTAAGATAAAAAAGATCCTCTTAGCTTAGTATCTACAGTGGGATGAAAAATGTGTTTAACACCCCCCATATCCGAAATATCCTTTATAGTTTACTATATAATATCTAATATAATAATTATAAAATAAAGAATAATAATATTATTATTATTCTAGATGGTAAACTATTAGGATTTATAGCTATTAGAGATAAATTATTAACTAGTAATTATAATATATAATATATTAAATTAAAATTTATACAATATCTAGATATAGATTATATTATATAAATAGAATTATAATTAATTATTCCATATTGTATACTAATATAATTAATAAAAAATAATTTAATAATAAAGGATATTATAATAAATAATTATTAATAATTCTCGATAGAATAAATTAATATAGATTAAATAATTATAGATTAAATAACTATGAATATTTCTATTTGTATAATAGAAGAATAATTACTAATAAATAAATAGCAGTTATTTAGATTGCCTAGCATGACGCTAATATGTATTAGTAAAAATAAATAGCGGTTATATCACCGCTACTTAGAATAGGTGATAGGCTACGACTCTAGCCAGATATTGAATAATTGAAATTGTAATGAGTACACTGATAAAGGTCTGATAAAGGTGAAATTTAAAGGATTAGCAAACAGATTGTCATACAGCGCCTCGCAAGTGCGGCTTGGAAAGTACCTGTTGTTGTTTTTCATCGATTTTCGCGACTCAAACGGCAGGTACTTAGGACTAAGGAGAAGACCGGGCAGAGACAAGGGAGACAGGCTGCAATCACACCAATGTGTTAACAGAGAAAGGTGTATGTAGACATCTAAAAATGCTAGAGCTAGAAGCTTACCTGAGATGATTACCATATTCATTTCAATCGGGGTCCAAATCTGGATTTTGCGGATTGTCCACGTAACGTCCACGGAGTTCAAATCAAGACTCATCAGATATATGAGACGGATGATAGAAGTAGCTGTGGCACTAGAAGCGTACAAAGACGACGTGATCAGCTGATCATCCCGATGTTTTTGTTTTGCGCACCACACCTTCTCATAGATGAGTGTAACACGTACAAGGCTCCCATCAGGAATACGAAGCTGATGATGATCTTCTGTAATCTCCGTAAACTCAATCCCCAAACTACACGCATTGGCACGCATAAAATAGCAGCATCGGTTAAGATATTCGGAAGTGCATTGCCGATAAAGAAAATCCGAGAATCCACGCCACACTTCGCTTTGATTGTCTTATTCCAGAATCCCTTCGGAGGTATGCACAGCAGACATGATGTTAATATCTATAGGTAGGGATAGAGTTAGCTATTATGGAAAGTAGGTTAGGGTTCGGCGGAATAAGTTTCTTTTTGACGCAATATTGGCTTGACTTACTATGCCAAATCCCCAACATGCCACAATAGCAGCCAAGACATAGATTGCGACCTTCACATAATGCTCTATGTTGAATAGCCGCCAATACATGGCTAATATAGAAAATTTAGCAAAGCATACGGTTCCAACGTACAAAAATTGTGCAATAAAAAGTCCCTGGAAAAGTAGGGTAGAACTATTCCGGGAAGAGACCCAGATGTGTCTTCCCACGCCATTATTTATCGCTAAAGTGTAGGTCAGTTTGCTGAAACATTGGAGGCGGGAAGGACGCATCAATGATGGACGAAAAAGMCCTACACCAGATMCCAGCCATAAAACAGTGTACAGTTTGCAATACCTAAAAAGTCCCATTAACTCATTCATTGCCTAGCAAGAATGTTTGGTTTTACTTACCATGGCAGGTATAATAAGCCAGTCATCTAACCAAAAACCAACCTTGGATATCACTCTCGAGGCGAATCGAAGACATACGACGATTATCGCGAGCGTCCATGTCGAAAAGAGAGATACGACAATCACATATTGTTGACTCTCTTGAAGGTTGACGCCCGCAGGTGGCGCTGGAATTGACATCGCTTCTTTGACAAGTCTGAAAATATCAACCAGTTCACTACTAGGGATGTGTAGAACTGGATATCGAATCTCACATAGTGTACTTAACGTAGTGAGTTTTCCCAACACCCCTTGGTGGCAACTGCACATTCGCAAAAAATGTGTAGCCCCATTTATGCAAGGCATGGTGTATCTGTTTACATATAGCTGGAAATATGGGCAGCTTTAGCCGAGATCTACTTGCATTTTAAAATTACTTGGGTACGCCTGTTGACTAGCATCATATCACAAGATATAGGCACCAATATAGGTGCGTCGATTTGCCATTCATGGTCTCGTCTAGTACGGGACTATAATAGTGATATCACTTCCTTTCTGAAATGAAATTCTCAATACAGACAGATTCGAAACCTCCATGTTTTAAATTGTATTTTATCACTATACATGGATTTATTTTCGCAATAACAATACTCCTATACTATTCTATATGTACAATAGCGTCTTCTTGGCACTGTTTCGGACGAAAAAGGAGAGCGTGTAGTTGTTGCAGTGTTCTGAAGTGCAAAATCCCGTATCGCATATGAGTCGACCGTTGATCGTGCAAGGGGCGGTGCCACAGTAAAAGGCTGTATTGTGTACAGCGCCTTGCATGAGCGGCTTTACATGATTTGCAACTCTTTGATTCTTTCTCGGCGCCACTCCTGTCACCACCTTAGTTAAACAGTCTATATAGTAAAATCTTAGTATGTTCTTATAGCTTACATAAGCAACTACCTTAATCTTATTATATATTTAGATTCTCCTTGTCTTTCTAATTCTAAATATATAAAAATATTATATTTTTAATTTTAAATATATTTTTTATTAATATTTTAGATTTTTCTTGATTTTTTAATATATTCTTTAGKTTATTAGGGATAAGAATTATCCAATTAAAAATTATTTATTARTTCTAGTCCTWGCTAAGATAATAAATATATGATTTTATAGATAGAAATAATACTTTTTCAATATAGAATATATTTTTAATAAATACTTTAAATTTTTCTTAATTTTTTAATATTTTTTTTAGATTATTAAGGTTAAGGATTATCTAATTGAAAATTATTTATTAATATTAATTCTAACTAATGGGACCGGCCGGAACATTCGGCACTTTTTGTTTTGAAAAACAGTCGTTTTTACACGTTTTAGAGGGCCTTTTAGGCTTCTCAGCACCTAAAAACCCCTATGTGGACGTCAC